TGGCTGCCTCCATGCAAGAAACGGAGCAGGTAAGTGGGGGGGGAAGGGGGCGAGGGGCGTCCTGCACACACACACACACACACACACACACACACACACACACTTGCTCAGCCGCCTCGGTTGCTCTGCAGCGCACCTGCGATGAGCTTAAGGAGCTCCAGTTGTTTTAAGAAAAAACAGGTGACCGTTTTTATTGGAAAGAATGGATGGGTTTCTGCCGCGGTTTTATTTGGGTTTTTTTTAAAGCCCATTCTGAGCCAGTAAGGCGGCAAGGCTTGCTTTTAGGAGCCTTGGAAAAAATAGTTTGCTTGTTTTTATTTTATGTCCCCCCCTCCCCTCTTTCCCCACTATTTTATTTGCTGGCAATTTTGGGGGTTTGCTTCCTTAGGCAGAGTTGCAGGAATAGAATAATAGCAAAAGGTATTTTAGTCCCGGCATGTTTTCTTTGCTTAGATTTCTGTTAGGACCAAGCGAAGTTAGAGGGCCTTGCTTTTCTTGGCTAAATACAGGAAGTCCTTGACTTACAATCAGGCGTCTAAATACTGCAAGAGCAGAGTTTGTAATTTCCCTCCATCACTTTTGTTGTTGTTGTTGAAGTTGTGTCCGACCCATCGCGACCCCATGGACAACGTTCCTCCAGGCCTTCCTGTCCTCTGCCATCTTCTGGAGTCCATTTAAGCTACTACTACTGCTACTACTACCACTACTACTACTACTGCTTCAGTGACTCCATCCAGCCACCTCCTCTGTCGTCCCCTTCTTCTCTTGCCCTCAATCTTTCCCAGCATTAGGCTCTTCTCCGGTGAGTCCTTCCTTCTCATTAGGTGGCCAAAGTACTTGAGTTTCAACTTCAGGATCTGGCCTTCTAAAGAGCAGTCGGGGTTGATCTCCTCTAGGACTGACCGGTTTGATCGCCTTGCAGTCCAGGGGACTCGCAGGAAATTACCTAGAATTCTCCAACTTGCTGCTGTTCTAAGTTGTGAGGGATTACAATTTCTACTCTGGCTTTTGAATGACAAGCTTTTTTTTTTTATTTCCTCCTCTGAAGTCAAATCGGAACTTCCAAGAATATCACAATCAAGCCAAACAGCTTTTCCGAAAACTTGGGGATCATTCGCCAAATCGGTGTTCTCTGCAGGCTGGACCGATGACTTTTCAGTAAGTTTTTCCAATTCATAGTGATGTGGAGAAGAAAACTATTATTAAATTTATATGCTACACAATCCCATGGTGGAGCAACACAATGGTTGGAATGCCCCTATTCTATCAGCTTGAATTTTTTTGCAATGCCCTAGGCAGGGGTAGGCAACCTGGGCTCTTTTATGACTCGTGGACTTCAACTCCCAGAATTCCTGAGCCAGCCATGCTGAGGGGAAAGGGAGAGGTTTCCAAGCTGAGCCATGCTGGCTCAGGAATTCTGGGAGTTGAAGTCCACGAGTCATAAAAGAGCCAAGGTTGCCTATGGCTTGAATTATGAAAAGAAAAACGAAGGAATTGCAGCCAAATTATAAACTCACATCAATATTTGGTAACCTCTGAAAAATGATCCGACCTGTTACCTGTCAAATGCCTTCTAACAGAATAATAGTTGAAAGGGACCTTGGAGATATTCTAGTCCAGTCCCCTGCTGAAGCAGCAGACCCCATATCTTTCCAGACAAATGGCTGTCCAATCTCTTCTTAAAAACTTCCAGGGATGGAGCACCCATAATGTCTGGAGGCAAGTCTTTCCACTGATTGTTCTGTCAGGAAATTTCTCCTAGGTTGGATCTTTCCTTGATTATGTCCTTGAATCTCCATGGACACCTGCCGTTTCCAAACTTACATGCAGATTTACTTCTCAAATCGTACCTTTTTTTCTTCTCGTTTCCCTTCATTTCTGCTGCATTTTTCCCCTACAGTTACCTGATCAGCCAGGGAGTTTGTTACCTGACACTCTGCGAAGCTAACTATTCGAAGAAGTTGGCCTTCTCTTTTCTGGAGGAGCTACAAGCGGAATTCTGGGAACTTTACGGGAAGAAAGTGTCGTCGGTGTCCCGGCCTTACGCCTTCATTGAGTTTGGTAGGTGTAAAAGTGAACAGGTTTCTGACAGTGAATCCTACCACAAAGAGGTTTGCAACGTGGCATCCCTGGGCCCCAGGTTGTCTGTCCCCATCCCTAAACATCATCGGAAGGCTCAAAATGGCCCTGCCTTGATTTTGTGGTATGTAAACAGGAGCAGGGAAGGTTTGGGATGGGTTTTCCTGGTTCTGATGTTCTACTTTACTGCAATACAGATAGTCCTCGACTTACAACAGTTCATTTAGTGACCGTTCGAAGTTACAACAGCACTGAAAGAAGTGACTTACGACCGTTTTTCACACTTGCGACCATTGCAGCATCCCCATGGTCACATGATCAAAATTCAGAGGCTTGGCAACTGACTCCATATTTATGACGGTTGCATGCCCCGGGATTATGTGATCAGCTTTTTGCGACCTTCTGACAAGCAAAGTCAAGGGGGGGAAGCCAGGTTCATTTAATAGCCATGTTACTTACTTAACAACTGCAGTGATTCACTTAACAACTGCGGCCTGAAAA